ATGAAAAATTCTTGAAATACGTCAGGATTGAGAAAATCATTATTTTCTTTTCAGTCCTTCCTTATACAATGAATATACCAAATATTATAATATAGCTGTAAAAGTATGCATTAAAAAAATTCATGCAATTTCTGTATCATTGTCATCATAAGTATTATTTCTCATTTGCAAATTCGTTTTGGCTACAAGTATACTTATATTAATAGTAGAAGAAGACAGCAAGTACTAGCAAGTGTGTATTTTATCACATATTTTCCTATACGCAATATAATCGGAACCCGAAGTGATATTACTGGTATTATTGTATTCCACAATCGCATTATAGAAAGTTAGACATAGAAAAGAAGAGAGAGAGAGAGAGAGAGAGAGAGAGAGAGAGAGAGAGAGAGAGAGAGAGAGAGAGAGAGAGAGAGAGAGAGAGAGAGAGACCTTCATTGTTGGAACTTTGTAGAAGGGCCAGGATATCGTTCAGCTTGTCACAAATATCCATCAGCTTGTTGGTGAGATTCTGGCCCAATGCATCCAGATCAATGTCCAGTTCTACTACTTGGTTATACGTCGCATTAAGAAGAGCATATATGTCGTCCAAGTTATCAAGTTCATCTGAAAAGAATTATGTATATTTTACTTTGCATGCAATTATATATTGTGTTGTTTGTCCATCTCTCTATCTATGCTGCCTTGTCTTAGAAAGTGTCACTGTTAAACTCTAGTAGATTATATTCATTAATCAGGTAAGGTTAACTGTTGACGTTGATTTTACGTAATCGCAATATTATGCAAATATTTACATTCTGTCTTTTTGCTAAATAGGCAAATATTTACATTCTGTCTTTTTGCTAAATAGGCAGATACTTTACATTATAGTAATTGTTTTAATCCTAGGAAGGCTTGGGATGTCGACCAGCTCTTCTGTATATCTTGACAGGGGGGGGGGCACGAGGACTCAATGTATCGGACTTTCAATGGACCGACTATAGGTTATAATCATTCTATCAAATCCATCCAGGGAGGCGACTGTGGTATATATTTGGGCAAAGCTTTTACTCAGATTACCTCCACATTAATTTTTACACTATCTTCAATCGAATTGTGATTGCAAATAAAATTCTGCAAATGTCGTATTTGATCTGTTTGAAGACACGTGATTGGAGGAGTAGACGAATGAGACCAATATTCTACAATGTTAAGGTACAGGAATTATGACAAACACGAGGAAATAATTGTTCTCCAACGTATTACGACGGATTGTGGCGCACAAAAGAAGAACAGACATCGCAGAAAAAGGAAGGATACAGCAATATTTTTAATACAGTGTTTCACAGTAAATAATAATAATAATAATAATAATAATAATAATAATAATAATAATAATAATAATAATAATAATAATAATAATAATGATAATAATACAAATAATAATGATGATAATAATAACAACAACAATGATAATAATAATAATAATAATAATAATAATAATAATAATAATAATAATAATAATAATATTATTATTATTATTATTATTATTAATATTATTATTATTAGTAGTAGTAGTATTATTATTATTATTATTATTATTATTATTACTATTATTATTATTATTGTTAATGTTGTTGTTATTATTACAATAATTATTATTATTATTATTATTATTATTATTATTATTATTATTATTATTATTATTATTATTATTATTATTATAAAATAAAATGTTCTTCGATGGAAAAAATTGGAAAGCTAATAATCTAGTTATGACAACGCCGAAGATGCTGATAACGACAATAATAATGTAGATGACAATAGAGATATTTCATCCGACTATCTTACCTAGATTGTCTTCTATGTCAGACAGGAAGCCGACCAACTCACATATCTTGTAGTACGTGAGGTTATTGGGACCTCCACCAAAAGACCAATCATCAAGGCATTGTTGGTAATCTGCTCTTACCTCGACCAGGGCAAAAAGTAAAACTATTCCGATTCTACCCAACATTTGAGGTTTTCTTCAGAAATGTGAAGCGATAAATCAGCTCAATGTGTGATCAATTCACAATCTCGTCTGTATTTATACTCTTCATCTCAACAAGAGTAACACGCCCTTTCCATTAAAAACTTTCCACGTCAGCCGGTCATACGTATATCGCAAAATCAAAGCATTCGTGTCAGTCATTAATTGTTGACATTTCAGACTAGTAATAGCTACATTTACAAAGACAAAAAAGTATCAAGTGAGACGATAAATGTTTTCTTTATTAATGTATTTAAATCTGATGGCTACAGAGAAATAGTGTTTCTTCTTTCAACGAATATTTAAATAATCTGTTGTAGGTTGTAAACGATAATTTATTACATTTATCTGTGAAGATTCTTTATCAAGATGTAAGTCAACAATATAAAAACTAATATACAGAAGAAAAATGTTTACTAAATAGTAAGTTGAAAATGAAAATAGAAAGAAGTACTGATAGAAGTATATCATGAGGGGATGAGGATGAAAAATCCCCAAACTAAGTAGCTATAGAAAGCAACAGGGAAAGAAACGTAAAGCTAGCTCATCTTGCAAGCATACTATTCTAAATTTATATTTGACTCTCGGATATAAATTTCAAATATCATAAATTTTTATTGTCTTCAGGTCCTAGTAAGATGATGATTGCAGAAAATAAAACAAAAAATTTGGTTGTCTAAACATTACTCTGATACGGGTATATTAGGGGAAAACAAATGTTCAAACAAGGTATATTCTCTGTCCTGGAGACGAGAAACAGTACCTTATTCTGCAGTGTAATGTGCGCATAATAATTTGTTTAGATATGTCTTAAATTATTAAATAGCATTATTTGTCAGGACAACCACTTTAATATTGCCTTTAGTTCGCTTAAATGATAACAAGACTATGTTAGTAACCTGTCATTATTTGGTTGAATAACTTCACGGTGAAGAGAAAGCATCTCGATTACAAAACTCTTGTAAGTTTTGTAAGTACATTTTAAAGACAATCCAAAGTTTATGATGTTACATTAACATGACTAAGAACTATATGGTACTCGATGCTTTTTTACTGACTTTATCAAAGGGGTGTAACGTTTCTTAATATTTTGTATGCCACAAAAAATCGAAGACTATAACTTGTAATGTGATGTTATTATGCACTATCAATACTAGTTGCTTATTTGAATGTCTAATTAATCTGTGTCTTCCTATAAAATTTGACCCAAAAACATGAACACGTCCTTAACTATTATCGACATAGCACATCAAAGACGGAAACATAGACTACCACTACCAAATTGTCAGCAGGGTCCGTTAGACAAATTAATATAATGAGTTATTATAACCTTTTTTCGTGACTAACAAACCATATATAAAATATGGTTTATGTCTCTGACAGTGCGAATACTGGAGTGCACTGACATAGTATTTCTGAAGACACTGATATAATAGGTGAGTGTCACTTAATGAAGCTCACAAAGCCATTTGTGAAACAGCAGCTAGTCCTATATCGTAATATTTAATATCTCACTTTTAACTGAAATTGCATCATCTCCTTTCACTGGAGAAAAGGATCTTTCAATCAAACTCAACAATTGTCTATTCTGGATATGCAAGACAGAAACTATAACACTTTTTTGAACATTTTCTGCCAGATATTCTAGGAAATGTACAGATTTTAAAATTAGGATATAAATTGATATGCATCAGAATGCGATAACAAGTTTAGAGACATCATGTCACTAGTTGCTAAGAAAAAAGAAACACAAACACATACACCTGGGATGGAGAGGCTGAAGGAGTAAGGTTCGTTTTTATAAACAAAGATCTGAAAAATCCTTTTTTTTAAACTTTGAAATAAAAGTAATGTTAAGTAAAACATAAATGAAGCTGATTATTCAAGAGTAAGTCAAGAGTGGGACAGACCAGAAAACATATTTCGCGTGTAACATTAGCCGATAAAGATTTATTCTAGAGATATTGTAAGAAATCATTAAAGCGTTCATTCATTTCAAAAGACTGTTCCATATATGACTTAGATAAGGCAACGAAAATTAACGATTAAACAAGAGTCTAAGACTACAAATTCAATTTATTAAGTGAGTCTTTTCATAAAGAAATTGCGACATCACGAAGTATTGATATACGTTTTAATCATAGCAAACTCATATTGGTGTATGAAGCTACTAGCACACAAACAATATAACATAAATCGTATTCTCTCTGTGGAAGAAATAAACTGGAGTTGGGCTTAAATCTAAATTGTAGTGTTTGCATACCAGATTGTTCAGGCCTGTCCTTAACATTATAAGAGTTGTTGTTGTTGTTGTTGTTTGGCTTAACGCCATTTTTCAGCACACGATAGGCTATTCATGGCGGCCAGTATTAATGGTGGAGGAAGAAACCGGGAAATCACCGGAAAGAACCACCGACCCCACGAGAAGCTACTGGCAAGCTTTCTCACATATCAACATTTGCCGAATCCTAGACTCGAACTCACGCAGACAGAGGTGAGATGGCTGTGATCCGTAACGGACAGCGCTTTAGACTACTCGGCCACTCGGGGCCCCCATTATAAGAGTACATTGTATTATGACGAAGACTCAAATATTACCAACAACTCGCTTTATCTAATCAAACATAAAACGCACCACTTAGGTTAATAAACTCGAGCGAAACCAAAACTTTTTGTGCAAATCAAACTTTCTCGTTTTTAACATACTTTTATATCCTATAAAATTTTCATAACACATGCGATTTGTTAATGCAAACAATCGTCAATTGATTTGCTAATCAAGGCTCCTGAAAATTATGCGTTTTTTTTCCTAAGTATCTAGTGTAATCCTTAACAAATTCTAAAAAAGAATTAAACGGAAAAAACATTCTGGACAAGCGAATGAATATCGCACCAATGTATACACGTATTTTACTCTTTAATAGAGCATCAAGGAGCAAAACATTCAGCTTATTGTAACATTTTTAATCGGTCTTCTACTAGACATATTAACCGCTCCGGTGGCCTACTGGTTAGAACGTCCGCCTCGAATGCGGGAGGTCGTGGGTTCGATCACCCGGTCGAGTTATACAAAAGACTTACAAAAATGGTACTAACAGCTGCCTCGCTTGACGCTCAGCATTAAGAGGTTAGTGTTAGGACTGGTCGGCCTGGTGTCAGGATAATTTGACTGGGTGGGACATCATTCTACATGTCTGCGGCATGATGCCGCAGTGCTAGACGTCACTATACACTGCCACACTGCAGATATCGTAGCGATCTGACTGGAAAATTTTTAAAGCTACGTTAGAAAATATAAACATCACACCGTCACTAGATATATTGTTCGTGAAAGATATATCAGTTTGCGAGTAAATGAAAATCTATTACCATATGTGCAGTATACGATTCAAAATGAAGGGATATTGGTGTTACGCAGTATTACTGGAAAGAAAATGTCTTTTTAACTAGCTTTATCTTCATAGGAGATTTAATGTAACAGTCATCAGAATTGTAAAGAGAATGTTTAGATTTATATTTAAACTTGATAAAAGTAGGACACAAAGGTATTAAAACAAACCTCAGAATTTACCTAATAGTGTCTAATAAAAAAACGAATCAGTTTTCTTGAAAGACTCGAGAATGTTTCCTCTAGATAATTATGTTCCTCAATAATACATTTCTGAATGGTTGTAAACAGCACCAGATATACATTATATTTATAATCACGTGTAATACGATGCTATGTTTGTAAATTTAAGGAAAAAAGAAGTCTTGGCATTGGTTTCTTGTTCAGACACATTCTTTATGTGGCAACCTCTTCAATATCTTCTCTTGTTGACACTTATGTTTCTTGCTGTTTTTAAAACTGAAGTCTAGCCAAATATAGTTTAGGTAAAGAGAAGAGAAAAATAAAAAATGTTGAATAATACGAGCATAAATTAATTACTGTTACAGTAATTAGTGATAATTTCTTCAGACATAACTACATTTCTCTTCGTCTACATGTCCCTCACTCTCTCTCTCTCTCTCTCTCTCTCTCTCTCTCTCTCTCTCTCTCTCTCTCTCTCTCTCTCTCTCTCTCTCTCTCTCTCTCTCTCTCTGTCTGCTATGTTGAATGAAAAGTTGAAAGTATCTTATACATAAGTCCGTGTGAACTTTCGCGTGGTACAGAATGATACTATATCCAATTATGAATCATTGCCATATCACTGCGTAGTTTTTTTTTCGAACACTCTGATTATGAAAATCATTGCTGAAATCTTATTTTAGTATCTTCGTCTGAACCATATACATCCTCGCCTAATTTAATTTTCATTTTTCAAGCAACAATTTTACGGTATCTTCAACAGAGTATACATATGAAGCAATATGTTGTACATGAAGACCATGAGTACATATTATATAAAACTTCAAACATGATGATGATCTAGACAACTCTTTTTCTCGTAGTCTTGTAGAAAAATTAAACCCATCACATCTTTCCATTATTTAGTACCATTCAATATTAATATTCAGCTGCTATGCTTGTCCATTTTTCTACTACACTGGTTCATAACTATATATCATTTTATTTCATGCGTCATTGTTAAATATATTTTGAGAGTTTTATTACGCTTCTAGCTAAATATTTTGCAATGCCAACCCCTTGCCAAAATGTATTTGGTGTAGTTACACACATGAATCGAGAATAAAGTACACGTCCCTTCAAACAATATTCATGTATTTTTTTAGAATAAGTTGAAAGTGTATTCAACTCTTGCAGTAAAATTCTAAAAAACTGGATATACAATAATCAAGCTTGAACACCGAGCCATCGACAAGGTCAGAAAAACAACACAGATCTGATCCGTGTAATAAAGTATACTAGCTTAGTCTTTTAAAATAGAATAGTTTACAAAACAAAAGTCAGAGACGTTGACGAAAGCCACTGGATGTTGATATAATTTATAAAGCAAATAGAGAACGCGTGATCCTGATACAGAAGCTGTACCATTATACGAACTTCCCAAAAACTCTAAGAAAGTCAGCATAAGTGGAAATATTTGCACCCAAGCGCGAATATATTTTCATTAACCGCTAAACAGTCAGGACGCAAAACTCCTGCACCAGAACCAAAGCAACAAGAATGTACTGCAGTTCTAAGTGAACATAAAAAAATGTATAGACAGAGGTAGAACACTATCCATATACGCAACAACACAGCGTTTATCACTACACACTTGAGGGTAATAAACACAAAGACCAATAGCAACAACGACATTTAGCTCTCCAAAGAAAACTTTCACTCAATGATGACAAAAAGAAAATAAGTAAGATGTGGACATATGCAACCATATGCATCACAATTTATGAGATTTTCATGGGATTTCTAAAGTAGAAACCGAAGCAACGAAAGGAAGTAGAAGGTCTTGTTTGACCATGTGGGATCGATTAACGCAGGCGACAGCGCGTCAAAAACTCTAATAATGACGCCACGTCGATTTTCCAGCGCTTGATCACCAATGACATGAAAACCAGGAATATTTCTTTCGTAGATGCGGGAAAAATATTTATCGAATGTTGTTATCGCATAGATGATGAGCTCTAAGGCATGTCCTGTCTACATCAAGCCCATGACTGTGTAGCGTGTCCATACCAAAACAACCAAGATGATTAATATTTCGTCAATTAAGCTAGCATGTATCATAAGGTTTTCTATATAAATCGCCTCGAGACCTCGCTTCTTCGATCGCAACAGCGTTCTTTCGCTTTTATTACCGTTGGGTCATTATGTGATCGCAATCATTTGAGGGCATTCGCACAATTAGCTCTTTAACAATTGGAACACTTGTACGTTAAGCAAAAGATACTTAATGTAATCCCAGCAGAAAAATCTAAGAATGGAGTACCATATCGCACCAGCACTGGTAGGACTACCTCAGTCAATCAATTTAATCTGTGACAGATTTAGCGTCTGATACGAAAGTGGAGCGCTGTTGTTAAATAATCTCAAGACCAGATTTGTGTATACACTTATATTCGGAACTTCTTTCGGCGGTATACATAATATCGGTGCATTTGCAAAGAATTACTAACCTGATTTACAGGCAGTGAAAATAAAACAAATATAAGTAAGTAGATAATAAAAGCAGTACCTAATAGCCTCACGAGAACTTAACATTTATGACTTCGGGACTTTTAGTCATATTCGTCATTCGTATGATAAAACATTTGTTTGGTTACCTATCTAGGTAAGTCTTCTACCCCACATAACTGTCCTTTGTTGTGTAAAATATAATAGCATGATAACAGTAAGAGGATAATAAATAAAGAGCTGACATGCAGAGTGTTAACAAATGAGCTATTAGCATTGAAGATATACCAACTCGGATTATCTATTGGTAAAGAAGTGATATTAGATGCATGCGTTGAAACAGCATTAATGCTCTGTCTAATGTTATAAAACATATTTTAAACCGTGATAGAGGAAGCAACAAATGCTAGATGACATATGTCATATTTTGCAACCAGTTGAATCAAGAATAGACCAAGAGATAGGCGCAACTGTGACAGGTATGGAAACAACGGCAAGTTAACCCCTTAAAGAAAAATTCCGAAACTGCCTCATAAAAGAAAAAGAGATTCTGAAAAATGGACAAAATACTGCTCATAACTTTCCAGCTACCAACCCATAATAGATCGAGATGTACTGGACATCCTTCCAGCAACTAACAAATCATCCAACTTATCCAACGGGACAAAAAGGAAGCAGACGTGAGATCGTTGAAAAAGAGAAAGTCGGCAGGAGTAGACAACATCCCAGCAGAACTGGTCCAAGCAGGGGAAGAAGCAATGATTAGCGCCCTCACAAACAGATGCAAAAAGATCTGGCAAACAGGGGTATGGCCATTGCTGTGGACCCAATCATTGATCATTACCCTTCTCAAGAATGGTAATCTACAACAGTGTCATCACAATAATAGAGCATCTGTATGAGAAGACCATCAGTGCAGTATACTTCAACGGCAGCATAGGTCACTGGTTCAGAACGATAGTCAGAGTCAGACAAGGCTGTCTGCTATCTCCCACACTATGAACCATCTTTCTGGAGTGAATCATGGCTGACGCGCTTGAAAAGCATGAAGAAACGGTCATCATCGGAGGCAGGAAGGTATGAAGCTAGAAACATACCACAGCTTCAAGTGTTTGGAAGGAAATTGTAACAAATGAAGGACAAAAGCCTGAAGTACTCTCTAGGATTGCGCAGACAACAATAGCGCTGACACAACTGAAGTCCATTTGGATCGACAAGAACATCTGACTGAGGTCAACAGACGTTTGTACTAACTGGTTATATCCATATTTCTCGAAGCTTGAGAATCAATCACCAAAATATCTGAGTTAGAGAAAATGATACAAGCCACAGAGATAAGATGCTTCCGAAAGATTCTCAATGTCTCATCCACTGACCGTGTCACCAATGAAGAAATGCGACAAAGGACGAGACAAGTCAATGGGCCTCACGAATACCTCCTGAGCACAATGAAAAAAGAAAACTGCAGTGGTATGGACATTTATCACGATCATCAGGACTTGTCAATACAATCATGCAAGGAACTGTATAAAGAAGAAGAGAGAGACAGTCTGAGAAAGAGGTGGGAAGATCACGTTCGAGAGCGGACATGCTTTACATTAAGCGACTTAATGAGAAAGACAGAAAATCGAGACGAATGAAGGAAGCTAATGTTTTGGTCTTGTGTGGTGCCCAAACGGTCTACCAGAGTAAGGGACTGTTGATGATAATGGTGATGATGATGAAGGAAACAATGACGAAATCACTAGCAGACTGCTTTAATAGCTATCACATTTAGAACCCATAGAGAAACAAACCTCTTATATCAACGGCAGATATACCACTATGTATCAAGGAATAAATGTATTTGTATTCTAGATCATGAAATGCCTATCTTTACCTCCTTGCTGATCTCGATCATACTGAAGGCTATAACCTCTTCACTGAAATGATTAATAACTATTAGTCAAGACAAATATTAGATTTTGGAGACTGATTCCGAACTTTGAGATGCCAGAGTGTCAGTCATTGTT